ACGCTGTACCTGTATCATGCGTTGAGTACTGGATGGCCCCTACCTCCTGCTTCTGATCGTGAATAGTCATAGCCCAAGAGTCACTTCAAAACCGGGTTGGATCCATTTGGTGGCCAGAGGTACGCTCTCAAGGGCCGCCGGTGTTCAAGCCTCTAAATTCTGGACCCTGCACCACTTTATGTCCAAACCTCGAGGTATCCATGCCCCAAACGTCTCGCTCACCCCACCGCGACAATATCCTTATGTCTGGGCTTTCTGGGCAATTGGTCCTGGCTCTCACACGGTGGGCGATCCAAGCACGAGGCAGAAGTTGTTAAATTTGCAAATTTGCAAAACACGGCAAACCTTCGGTCTGCGATGGCAGGATAGCGTGCGTCGAGTGTTCATGAGAGACATGAAGTTTTATCAAGGCTATCCTTTTGGATGGTATGGTTTACCCATTATCACTCTAGCTGTTGTGAGAATGAACCGATGGGATGTGGCTCTCGGTTTGGGCCTCATCTGAGCTCCATAGTGCACAATAATAGTACCATTTTAGGCGAACGCGGTAATGCCCTAACTATGATGCTAGTAGTTTATATGATAGTTCAAGAGGGGCGACTAGAGCCTGATCTCTACTTCCACCTCCCCCCCCCACGTAAACGAACACCCTACTGCGAAGCCCTTTACACTATATCATACCGCTTTTAGCCCCCAACTTCATGCACTATGCTGAATGCTGAAGAAATATCGCAGGCGCTAAAGGAATTGCATGATGTCACTCAGCGACTGCCCGCACTTCTGATTGCGGGGCAATTTCTCGCCGATATACAATCCGGCTGGGAAAGACAACAGCCAGCGGAACGCCTCATGGGCGACAGCCAGCTTCAAAGGGACTCTCGAAAGGAATTCATCTTGTTTGAAAAGTAAGTTCAAGATATCAAAAAGTACCGGTTCATTATATTTATCGCCCCGTATCTTTATATGAGAAGAAGCGTGAAGGATTTAGAGGAGAATCTGGAGACATTTATGCGAGCAGTCCGCCCAATTGGCTCCTCTAGCGGACTGATACGGGCGGCACGGAAAATAGAGGAAGAAATGATCACCATCCTAGATCAAATGAGATATACGACCGCGAAGATCTGGACCAAATTCGCTACGAGCAGAGAAAGGCCCCACAGCGTTCTTCCGGAGGATCTTCGAAATGGTCAAATGGCTTCTTGGATGCTGGTCAAAAGCTTCAGGACCTTGTCGGAGACCTTACAGGAGTTCCTCGATAGCTTGGAAGACATTCCTGAGTTCGCGGACAAAAGGCTCACGGACTCATTGAAAGCATTCCAGTATTGGTTGGACTACAGGGCCAATGCATTGAACGCATACGAAGGCAAGTTATTGAACGTTCTGTAGCTTTGGAGTTTAATGGAATCTCTCTAACACTCCGTGCAGGTACCTCGTTCGAGAACTCGGCCGCCGATTGGCGGTATATGATTCAGGTTATGGCAGAGATGATTACCTACGTGAACAAGGCGGGAAAAGTCTTGAAGGAGTTTACCAAAGATGGTATGATTTATGTATGGGAGTCACCTTAATCCAACTCCTAGAACATCTCTCATAGGCGTCCAAGCTATTCGTGATGCTCAAGATCGTTCTCAAAACTGGCTTCAAAACATATCCGCTGTTGTGAGTTTCTGTCGTTCTCTCCCAATAATCTTTTAAGCTCACTATTATATGTCTTAAAGGCAACATTCTTCTCCGCAGTCACAGCAACTACGCTTCAGGTCAGTCTTACCCTGTCCTCATACATACGTTTCCAGGGAGTAACCAATTGTTCACAGTATTCAATAGACGGAAAACAGTAAGCTACGTTCCATACATCTATAATCTACTCCAAGCCTCACTATTTGGTGGCTAGCGATCTTGGAACGGTCGTACGGGCTTTATGGGTGTCGTCCTTAATCTTGAGTATAGCTTCGGCTATTAACTCCCAGTTAGCTATGCACTGTGAGTGATTCGTGTCAACGTGATATCGATGATGTCCTGCTGACTCCTTGAGGCGTTCCTTCCAGGGCGGGCCGCCATGTAGTACGTCTTTCCTACCCTTGAGCGATATCGGCCACTGGAACTGAGGGGAAACTTCTCTCGTCCTCCTTTCCTCTAGCCGATCTCCTAGAGGCGCTCTCCCCAGTAAGTCGCGTGTAAAGAGAGGAGGATCGTGTGACTGATTCAATAATGCAGTGTGGGCCTCCTTCTGCCTCAATCACGCGCCAATTGCTTGCCTGGTCACCGCTGTTCTTACCTTCTCCGTTGGCCTTGTCGCTTGGACCTTCGGGTCAGGTCTTGGGGTCGTGGTAACCGCCTGCGCCACGACTCACACGGTGGCAACAGCGATTATTTTGATTGCAGTCGTTGTCTGGGAAACTGGAGAACGATTGCGAGAATACAAAAGAGCGATACGCCAAGAGCTCCATGAATCCGGTGTTAACCCATTGCCGCCTGTGTGGCGCAGCGTGAAATATTATTCCTTTCTCGCATCGGTAACATTGATTGATTCTTGGCACGACTTGGTTACCTGGCTACGCCGGAAATGGAATCAGGCTTTGGGCCACCTGCGGCGTCGTTCAAACCCTTCGATCCGCGCACCCCCGGATGAGCTGCCGAGGGGAAGTTCCAATCTGACAATATCGATTCCCAAAGGTACCAACAGTATCACGAGCGGGCCTATGGGGCTTCTTTCGCCAGTGGTGACCCCAAATCCGCTGACAAGGTGGCAAAGTCGAAAACACCAGGCGAAGAGGTTCTCAGCAGCCCTCCCCAGTACACTCGTGATCCATCCCCAACCAGGTGTGGACGCTCCATTTTCTCCACTTTCTCCCGCTGTAGACGAGCGCTTCTTCGGACCTTCCACACCGGCTCTCCAAAGGACTTTCCGACGAAGAGCCTGGGAACTCGCGCACGACCAGAGCCTCCGCGACGTTATAAAATCAAGTCCTATGGGAAACACTGGTTATCGACGAAGAAGTGAGCTCAACAGCATTCGGCCAGTCCATGCTTTGTTGGTCGAGCGCCCTGTGGGACGTGACATGCACTTCTCTCCTGATGGAAGATGGCTCGCGGTCTCCCGTGTGGACGGAAGGGTTGCGATCTGGAGTGTCGACGCTTTTGGCGAGGAACCTATCACAATCCCCGCTCCCACTGAAAGATTTGCTTGGTCACCAGATGGCTCTTACATTGTCAGTATACTCGCTAAGGGCTTCCAGATTTGGGATCGTTCCAAGGTGAGTTCTTGTAAGAAGGGTTTGGAGAGAGTCTAATCCTTTGCACATTCGGTCATGCAGGGCGGCTTTAAGACTCGAGAAACTTCATCCTCGATTGGTCCCATTGCTTGGCTTCAAAGTGGGGCAGCGTTTGCTGCAGCGGTTGATGGCGAAGTCTATATATATGTAAGCTCTGTACTACGTTGGCTTGGTCGCAGGTCTCAAAGTGCGCGTTTGTCGAGTCTAGACTCGTAACGGGAGGAGAGACAGACAGTTCAATGGTTTGTCGAGGTCTCGCATTCAGATTCATGATATCGCCATTGTACCAAGTGCTACCCAGGCCCAGTACGGGTGAGTACGCGGCGAATGTAAATGACATCGGTTTGCGACGTATCACTTATCACGGAGAGAAGCACACTACTTTTAGTCGCCACGGTAATAGCCGAAGTTGCGGAGCCTTCGTTCATGAAACCAGATTTTCAGAAGCCTCGGGATGCCAAGCCAGAGAGGCGGCTTATAGGCAAGGGTTTTGACGACAATCACAGAACGCACAGCTTTTACTGAATATATGATCCACTTTGTCTATTCAGTATACGATATGGATCGAAATAGCGTTCAAGCCCCTATTGAAGCTTCGATTTTGACGGACGCGAACCGCGTCGCCGTCAATCGAAACGGAATGTTTGGTCTTGTATCGTACGGGGATGGTTCATTACCTGAACTTTGGCAGCTGCGAGATTCTAGAGGTAGAGCTCGCCTCGAGCTCTGCCGGGTGTATGCCCCAGCGACAACAGGGTCAACCGACAACAAGCGGGCGGCAGCACCGGGAGTCGTTGGTAAAGCTCATTTTGGGTGAGTATACACGCATCGTCAATGTATAGGGCTCTTTGCTTATAAAGTGGCACTTAATTAGTGGAGAGTCCGACGAATGGGTGATCGCGTGCAACGGTGGTACGTTTTTGTGGGCTCTCCCGCCTATTCGCGCGTACTAACCATGATGTCTCCAGAAAACGAGATCTACGTCTGGGACCGCGCCACAGGGCACATGCTCCACACTTTGCGGTCCACGGAAATACAAGAATTTTCCGGCACCCTTAATGCGTACGATATTGCAACATTTACGTGCAGAGTAGTCCAGGATAGCACCACCGGGATGCTGTTGGCGTCTGCATCAAGAAGTGGTGGGGTGATCATATGGCAATCCCCTCCAGATCCCCAATCTCCTCTACTGGATTCATCGTCCAGCCCCCAAGAAGTGGTGGCTTCAGAGGGTGATGCAGTGGTAGCCGGACGAGCACTATGATAACAGAATTTTGATCACTATGTACTAAATACAGAGCATTAGTTCAATACTATGGCGTAATATGAATGTAACAGGATCGCGGAATTGGAATCATTTGCCCTGATCGTCTGCTGTTTATCATGAGAGTAGAGTCGCGACGATTGCCCCTCCCTCGATTGAAGTCGCAGATCCCCCACTTGTGAAAAATCGATTAAGTCATAGCTAACAATAAAATAGGGGAGAATTAGCGTTTCTCCGTGCATCAGTAAGACCGTCCGATTGCGCCATTCAGTCACCACCAAGCTCTATAGCCCTGCCCCCTACTTGCCCCTACCCGAAGTTCGGCGGAGCTAAATAATATAGAGCGATGCCCTACAAAGAGTGCTTGGGGTGTGATGAATGGGGGTCGTTTCAGGGAAGGACCAACTGTGACCCGGGGAAAATTTGGTGTATTATATATTTTTTGCGGGGAGGAATCCCCTATACCCTTTGTAGCTCAGCTGGAAGAGCGTGGGACTGTAATGGCTTACGTAATGTCATCCCAAGGCCGTCGGTTCGACCCCGACCGAAGGGAAATCACTTTTGTTTGAGTCTTTTGGGCGAGTTATGGGAGTTTTGTGGGCGGCCGAGACCGTCGGACCGAGATTTTCCCTCCCTCCCACCGCTGGATCCCACGCGTCCTAAGAGTAAACAACCATCTGGCTAGAGTAAAGACAAGGAAATATTGATTCGTTACGTGCTTTTGACCGAGAAGCTGTCGCAAATCACTTAGGCAAAGTCATTCGCTCAGCATCTCTGCGAGATATTCACCCAAGATATTGGATGTCTATCCTTGCTCTCCACCTAAGATTAAATACCCTTCGTTCGCAGGCTATCGAGCTACTTCTCAACGATCTTTGCTCAACAACTGTGGTACACCGGCATCTCCGCAAAGTAGGGGTTAGCAAAGCCCAAGCGTCTAGGCGAAGAAGGCCATTTGCTCGGTGTGACACGTATAGATCATTGCCTACACCAGGTAGTCTCGTTCAAGAGTATGACACTACCAACATGAGATAAGACAGGGCGGGTAGGGTCTCTTAGATAACTCCGGTTTCGGGGTGAATTTTCTCTTGTTTCCATGTAATCTGAAGGGGCGGTGGGGGGAGGACGAGACGGACCATGATCGAATCAATGGTTTTGCCCGAGGTACACCTCCCATTTCGCGTCGATTTATCAATGAGCGCAGAATAATTTATCAAGACTACTAGTCTTGTGTGAAGCTTCAACGAGTGGAGCTGGAGGGAGCTTTGAGTCAGGCGATTGCCACATTTCATAAATCATTGGTTGTAGCGGACCGGTTCCGCATTAATTTCAATGTGTCGCGGCAGTTGAATTGATTTGCATGTAAATAGTTGTGTGCAATATTATGGAGTGGGTCCAGGCGAATGTCCCTGCCAAACACCTGGATCGATCGTCCGACAGCCCCAGGTTTGCCCCATTGTGCCGACACCCATCCCCCTAAAGACATTTCGTGAGTGTACTATTTTCACCTCTGACGCCAATTCTCTCAGCCATCTGGGCAACACACATTTTATCTGGATGATTACATCTGACCAGCACAAACACTATGCTATCGGTTCGATCCCGGTGCAAAGGCACCCCTTTTCAAGCATTTTTGCATGTTATCGCGCATGAAAACAAAGGTAGACACTTGAAGGGGATTAATCACTGATTAGAAGCTCAGAACGAGCTATCAATCCGCGTGTATGATTACGTGTCACGACTACCTGTCGGCTGCTCCCTACTATAACTAATTGACGACTGCCAAACGCAGGGTCGAACTCCCCATGTAACTCATGCTATAGATTAGATCGGCTCTAATATTACGGAGCAAACTGATCAACCTCCACCTTTTGTGTGATTTTTCATTGCTCGGTAGCCGAGCCAGCCGCCGAGCTCGAGGCCTGCCCGACTTAGCGTTGGCCCAGACTCTTTACAAGAATTACGATGGAGTCCAACGGGCTCGCCCATCCCGTTGGCTAGCTCCTTTGGTGATTCGGATAGAACCCCCGTTAGATCCAAAGCGCGTCATGACCTTGGAGTAGAACCGAATCCTGACGTCACTTTCCCCATCCCACTGGAGACGCCTATAAGAGAGATCTACACCCAACGAAGATCCCCTCTAGCGCAAAATAGTTTACACCACAATGTCCTCCAATCTCGGAACTCAATCCCCACCCGTTGACTACACGGCTGGCACCAAACCACTCGGCAAGTTTGACCTTTCTGGGCGAGTCGCCGAGGGCATTCCAGATTCTACTCAGCGAAAAGGTGATCCCGAAACACTCCGCTGGTCTAACGAATACTGGACTGACGTTTATGCGATCGACGGTTAGGCTACTTCGGAGAAAGTAGGGAGGAGCCTGCGACCCCGTCGGCAGGAAACAATATTGAAAGGGTGAGTACTTCGGATAGCTATCTGGCGAAGCGTTTCCACTGATACGTTTTCATACCAGGCCCAGAAAGCCTGTCTCGAGTCTCTCGACCGATACAATAAGAAGTGGGCATCGACACGCAACCAGGCTCAGAAGTTCTAAAAGGCGCCAGAGATCTGCTATATTGAGCTTGTTCATAACCGCCAAAAGTGGAATGCTAGATTGACTTTGATTGCCGATTATTGCACGCTGTCCTGAACTATGCGTCTTGTCGTTGGGGAGGACGTTCACATCGAACGAGCCGGCTGAAGTAAAAATGCGAACATGCTCAGGAGCAAACGACCCGGTTCTATTCAAGCTTAGTCCAACTTTGGATAACAACTCACAGATAGAAAGTGATACATGGTAACGAGTGATAATAAAATGACTGGGGGGAGCCTCGCATCGACGTCCGTCATCTTCAATTCACCTAAAGCTGCGATCCTGAAGCCTTCTCAGCGGCTTCCAGGGCATACTTCACCCAACCCAAGATGGTCTCCTTATCCTCCATACCAATACTGACGCGCACAACGTTGACTAAAACCCCCCACTCTGCCGCCCAATCAAGTTCAGAGTAATGACTGAGAAGCGTGTAGGGGCAAGCAATCGTAAAGTTCGTGCCTGGGGCGAATCGGACATCAGCACCCTCCGCCACTATTGCAAGATCAGAATGAAAGAACCTACCTATTGTCGGACCCTTCTCGCAACCGAGATTATCGTAAAACGCGCGGGCTGCAGACTCGTTGCTAAACAAGATGGTAAGCATGTTACCGAAGCCAGAGGGGTAGAGTGGAGCGACCGCGGGACTAGCTGGTTGTCGGCGACAGGCGTCGTAGTTTTCTCTCCTCTCCCACTTTGGGAAAAACACTTTCGTGATAACTTTCTTCTTGCTATTTGAGTTCTGGCTTTCGCCATGAGCAGTGTCGTAGGCCTCTGATTGAGACCAAAGCCAGTCGGCGACGGCTTCTGCATTGCGGTTCATGACGTCGATGCGGTGAGCAAAGTTCCTCGAGTTAACTTCCAGGCGAACGAGGTCTTCGTGCCAGCAAACCTGTTCGTAAGTGGCTTTGAGGTGATCCCGAAGCAAGGTGTAATGGCGTCGTTCAGGGTTAAGAACCAGGCTTACAAAAGACGGTAAATCAGACATATTGACTCGCTGTCGATTCCCTCTAGAGCCTACCTTCCACCCATAACATCGCACCTTCCTGAGAACACCTTGGTCAAGCTCGTCACCACGATATCCGAGTATGACATAATGTCGACGTTGACGAAGTTGCCGACGGTGTCGTCGACGACGATCAAGAAATCGAATTCGTCGGCGATCCTGCGAAGCTCGACCAGGTTCGACGTTCGAAGTAGCGGGTTGCTAGGCACTTCACAGAAAAGAGCGGTGATAGGGGCACCGGAAGAAGCAGCTTCTTGGGCTACACGACGAACTTCGGAGAGATCGTCATCAGCACCGAAACCGAAGAAATGGCAGCCGGGACCCCAATTCTGAAGGAGCTTCAAGGTGCAAATGAAAGGGAATCTACAAAGAAGAGTCAGGTCCTCGATAAATGTCCCGAGACGAGACTACTCGCTCACCCGAAACAAATGCTCTTCCCTGCAACATTGCCCATCTTTTCAGTCGTTTGAAGGATGAGCTGATGAGCGTGCCAGATGGCGTTCATCCCGTTGGGGTAAAGGAACACATCATCGTCTGAGACCGAACCGGAACCACCGGTTTTGGAAATTGATAGAGACCTTTCGGAGGAACTCGAAAAGTCACCCTCGAGGGCTCTGGCAATCCTCCGTCGCACGGCAAATTCCGCTTCGGCGTAGGGTAAGGGTTGCTCGTCGCATTGAACCAACAGCGATGTTTGACTTTAGCTCAGCCCATCCTGGAGAGACTCGACGCTACCTCCAGGCGAGCCATTATTATTGGGAGTCCCTGGAGTCGATCTTGTAGTGCTAATCAGGCGACCTGCGACTGGGTCTCGTGATGGGGCACCCAGAACCCCCAGGCACCGGTCCGCCCGTCGGCTGAAAACACCGGTCCCACTAAGTTCCCAACACGTTTTGGCCAGCATGAAAGACTCGGCGGGGAAGAAGACGATATCGAGCTCCAAGGACTGGTCTGAACAGAGTTCTTGGTTTTCAGACACCTGGTCGTGATTTGGGTCCGGCGTCGGGGGAGGCAACACGTGATGGGCAATACGAACTGCGACGGGAGATGGCGAATGGATATGGAGGAAGGAACGCATCGCTTCTGCAAGCTTGGCACTCGACACGAGGATGCAACGTTCTCCGGGATTTCCAAATTTCTCCTCGCAAATGCCACCGAGCTATTACCAGTCACGGGGACCTTCGTCAGAATGTACCTCGGAATTGGGACCCGCAACGTACCAACTTGACACTTTCGTGGGGCATGAACCTGGGATAGCCTGTGGTTAGAGCGTCGACCACTCTGGCCTCACCTACAGCGAAACCTCGGTTGTCTTCCCAGGTCGGCATTGAGACAGAGATGGCGTGAGGGATATACGGAACTGGCCATCCAAGCTCACTCGTGATCAGGCTAGTTTCTGCAGTCGACATTGTGAGAGAGATGTTTGTCGAAGAGGAGGGTCATTGAATCCCACCTCCGCTTTTAAAGACATGTCCGACGGTGGCTTTGGAATGGGATGGCCGACTGAAAGCTGAGGAACTTCGGCGGAACTGGGTCGTCGAACGTTCGAAGCCTCATTTCCAGGCGTGAACCGTGGGACCGGCGATGGCGAACCAGAAGTGGACAAAATGAAACCTCTCAAGCCTCTTGCAGTATATCAACAACACTTTGTTACTTACGTATGAGCTTCGAGCCCGGAGAAACATCTGGATGGTTATAACAGCTACTTTCATCCTCTTCAACAACATATCCGGTGAGGTAGGGTGCCATTTTCAATGATCAACGATCCCATGCACTTGAAGACTCAGGCGCGTGGCGTATTTTAATTCCGATACCTTTGACGTCATATTCGGTGGATAACTTGCGCCATTTTCAGCCCATCCGCTCGAAGGCTGATCAGCTAGGTGCATGTTGACCTAAGCCACTGATCGAGCATTCAAGTGCAATGATGCCCGACGCCCTTCCTTGCCGAGTTGG